ATTACTATAATATACAATATGGTTGGTTTGGTTTTATTTCGTTATAAGAAGTTTACACTTCCACACCCTTGTCTGAACACACACAAGACAGAGACCAAAACCCATAGGTAACAAAAATAAAATGTGATTCCACAGATCAAACAGAGACTATAGAATGGAGACTATTCAACTAAATGAAATTACATAAAACACTAAACTGTAAAAACCATGAAAGACAAACTAGCGATGTCTTTAAATAAATGTGTAGGTGATTCAGGTAAGCACACAGACTAGACTCTCTATTTTTTATTCTTTATCCAAAAATGACATTGATATGAGTGAAAGCTTCTCAGGTGTTTTCTTTAGCAGTAACTTGTAGAACTTGTTGTTTCTATGTTTTTGTTCTAATATATGACATTGATTTATAGTGTGTATTCTCTAACTCTGTTTGACAGTGAGGTGGATCACGAGATGGCTCTGATAACTTCAAAGTGAAGGCAGGTGGAGCTACAGGTGACACAGATGACAGCCTGATTACTGAGGGATGTGATCATCCAATAGGAAGCTTTGTAAGTGTTTGGCAAGTCTGTATATAAAGTTGTTTGTGGCATCACTTCAGTTTGAGCTGATGTAGGTGTTATGCTGGACTGTAGTTTAGTTTCATGCTGGTTGACTAAAGGCGACACTATAGAAAGTCATGTTTCTGTGTCGTCCTCCTTTCACTTTGTTCAAAGTTTCAAACACAAATCTTTAGTTGCTGCTTCATTGATTCACTGAACAAAGAACAAAAGTCTGAGTTCAACATGCTGCTGAGTAGCTGAGCAGCTGAGTTCTAGGATTTTTCTCCAGTGGGGAGAAACTAAAAATGATGCATGACTAGAGCTGTCTTTTTTTTATTTTTTTATCACCTCACTTTGGAAGCTATTTATTATCATATTGAGTTGCATCAAATTAAAACACCTGTTCCAGATTGGCCCGATCACTCAGCTCAACCCTTGAGTTACTTTTTTAGAATTTGAATATGGTGCATGTGACTTCTGCATTACTTGAAGTCTCTGGACTTGGTTGAATAAAATTCCTGCACTTTTTTGATGTCACTTTTTTAAAGCCCTGTATCTGACCACTTTTATAACCTGACATGCTTGAACAGTGAAATGTATCTGGGTTTCATCTTCAGAAAAAGATGAGTTAATGTCAATTGGACAAAAACTGATTCTGACAATCTACTGGTGTCAGGGGCCATAATGGAAGCACATACTGATAACTGTTACTTGCTGTGCAACAAGTGGAAGGTTCCTTTCACATCTGCATCAACAAGGTCATACAAATTTTTGTTTATAAAATTTTATATTTTTAAAAAGGTGCTTTTTTAAAGTCCTGTGAGTTCAGCCAGTGAGGGGCCAGAGTTTGATTTTAAACTAACCTCTACCCATCAGTGAGGTTGGCAGGCTCTGACTTTATCCTCAACAGCTGCAGACCTTTTCCTCATGTGCTTCTGTTATTCAGAGCACATGCTTGGCTTGTTTGAAACATGACATTAGATCCCAACACTCCTTTTGTTCTGCTTACAGAGTTGGCAGACTTTGAACAAGTTTACTTTAGCACCAGTAGATATGACACTCTTAATTTTTTTGACAGGCACTCACGTCACTGTCCTTGTGTGTCATGTTGTGGAGGAGTCTGCTATGGGACATGCATTTCATTTTGTTTTTCATACAGTCAATATGAGATCATATTGTGACATCTCATTACCAGTTTTATTATCCATCTGCCATCACTGTAGACAAACAAAAAAAATTCTATACACAACCTCAAATGAACACCCGGCAGACAATTAATCCACAAGGAAGAAATAACCAATTTAATAATTTTTAATTAATCAAAAGCATTGAGGTGAATGAGGGATCCCTTCAGTCTGGGCACTCTATCTGGCTGCTGGCATCAGTCACATCTGCTCTCAAAAGCACAAACACAGATATTGCCTTTCTTATGCTAAAACTTGTATATTGCAATCAAGTACAAATGTATTGACACTATTCATATAACTGTCCGAATTCACACACTCAATGTGCTACATGTTGGCCAAATTCTTAGTGATTAACACTTAATTCATGACCGGAATTTGTGGAGGCATGAACAATGTCCACCTGCTGCAGGACACTGAAGTCTCTACTGGGTGTCATGGAGCTTCTTCTACAGGTGCACTGCCCTCTGTTCTGCCGCCTTCTTAAGCCAAGGCTTTTGTGGTACAGCTTCCTCTCTTGACACTGCTGCATCCAGCTTATGACTTTGTTTGCTCTTTAATTGTTGTTTTTGTTTTTTTTGTTTTTTTTGTTTTGTTTTTTTGTGTGTGTGTGAACATTGTGTGCTGTGCCAATTAACTCTCCCAATACAGCTGTGATGCATCCCCAAATTAGTGAAGACACACCAGTATGAGGTTTCCCCAATCAGTGGCTGGCAATCTGATTGGACTGGACTGAGGATGTTCTATAAGGCCAGAAGATCTGGCACAGTGGGGCCCTTTTTTTTCCTCAGGTGGCAACAGAGTGGTCTGCCTGTGAGGAGCAGTCCAGCCAGTGAGAGCGACTGAGTATACGGAGGGACTACGCATAGCCTGTTTCGAACAGCACCATCAGGCCGGAGTGGAGAAACAGCCAGCTGATCGGAGAGAGAGTGGTCTGCAGACGGGTGGACTTGCTATGCTCAAAACTGGTTGACACCAGTTTCACTGCGGACTCAAGAGATGGTCCCAACTTGGCCACGCACTCAAGACCTCCTCCCCAAGGATGTACGGAGCTGTGATTGGCCAGTGCATATAGGAGTAGTACCAAGGACTGTGCGCTGATGCCCCCTGTTGGTTATCCCCACACTAGACAATTTTTAATTCCCTTTTTTCTAGTTTTCTAAGGATGGCCCTCTTTTTTTGAAAATAAATTGTACAGTGACTTTACATATTTGTGGTCTGTGTATTCTTGTGATCCAGAGATTTTAAATAACCTTTTGTGACACAAGCATACTGCAAATAGAAAACGATGAACATCACAATCATAAAATAATGGAAGCGAGAACTGATTTGAAAGCGCATACTTAAATTTTTGGTACATATTGTTGAAGAAAACTCACTCAAACTCTTTAGTTTGAAGTTTGCTGTAGAGAAGTAAGTTTAATGGTACCCCAGGATACGGTGAGCCAACTGACACAGAGCGGGTCTGAGGCAGACTGACCCAGAGTGTAGGGCACGGGGACAGTTATACAGTTCAAGACAATGGGATGGACATCTGTATTTGCATATACCTGGGGTTACAGACATTTGGTCAGACAGGAAAGGAAGTTACAACAAAAAGTAATGTTTATCAAGAGGTCTTGTAGTGTAGCCCCTAGGTTTAAGTTATCAGGGGGTAGAAGGGGCTCTTAGGCTGGATCAGCATATGCACAGGTAAGATTGTTAAGACGATAAAGCGTTGATGATGTAAGGGGGAAGAAGGGGGTTTCTCCTTGATGAAAGGATCAAGGGGCCAACTCAGTAGGGTTATGGGGTTGTTCATAGGTGTCAGCAAGTCTACACTAAAGGATGTGTATTTTCTTCCTCAATCCACTTTCCACTGAATCCACTGAATGTATAACATTCAGTCCCGATGATAGCACAGGTTCCCCCTTGTGAGGCAAGGAGGTAATCTAGTGTGGCACGATTTTGTAAAGTCATTCGTATGGCAGTCACTACTTTTGTGAGTAGGGACATGCCTCTTGCAGTAGAGTTTGTAAGATCTTCAACAGCATGAGAGAGGTCTCTTATTTTGTCAGTGATGCCATAACTCTGTAGCTTGGAATGAGGGCTCCAAAAGGTCTTGTCCATGTGGTGTGTTTGTGTGTGTGTGTGTGTGTGTGTGTGTGTATAGGTCTCTTTTAACAAGGTGAACTTCAGGTTGCGCATTAAGTACTCTCATGTTTGGTATCACATGACCCAAACCACATACACCAGACCAATCTTTTGGTAAATACTCGTAGGCCTTCATGCCACAAATCCAGTACACACCTTTTTGGTAGTGGTATGGAGCAGTATTGGATCATGTTAACAAAGTGTCCATATATTCATTAGAGAAATTAGATGATGGGTGTTGTCTTGGTGGAACAATTAGTTCTTCTGATGACGTGTATATGGTGTTGCATTTAGAAGTTCCAAGGGGAATGTGTCCTTTACCTTTGACACACCATTTTAGGGTGTTTGGGACTTTCATGAGGGTCAGGGGGTTAGGAGTGTTGCAGGAATAACAGTTGGGGTAAAGTTGGTTGCAGGATAACTGTCTGATTTGGGTAGGGTTGGGACAGGCACAGTGTTCATAGGTGGAGTTGTAGTGTAAGATGTGGCGAGTGTCACAGGAGGTGATGGGTGAAGCCATAGATGGGAGTCCTTCAGTCGTACTGTGTAGGATGAATCCACACACGTAACAGTTATTAGGATTTGGGCTATTGTCGGCTACCAATTTTGCCAATTGGAGATACGTGTTTGTCGGGGACTATGGCAAAAACGATATTTTTTTAACTTGAAATTTTATGACTTTTCCTAGATTGGCACCAGCAGTAGAAAAAGTGAAATGTTGCTTTTATTCACATTTCCATGTAAGCTGTACAAAAAAAGGTACAAAGGTGGTCTTCGGGTCAAAATGACCCGTGAGGCAAAAAGAGTTGAAATCAAGATCAGTTATTTACACACCACAAAATGTTACAATGTTTTAGTTGTGTCTCAGATCAATCAGTAGCAGAAGTAAACAAGACAAATCAGGTGGTCTTCTCGCGGACTGCTGTGCCTTTGATCAGTCTCAGATCAATTAGTAGTAAACGTGAACAAGACAGTAGCAGACGTAAACAACACAAAGGCGTTCTCGCAGACCGCAGAGCTCTTTTTCTGTGGATTTCCAGAGGTTATAAAGGTGCTGCAGATGACAGGACCCCGAATTCTGTCTGTGCTGAAGCCATGAGTGTGCGTTATAACGTTGAAGAGGCTCTAGAGCGGATTTTTTCAGATGTCCAGCAAGATAACTCTGATTCAGAAGAGGAAGTGGAGGATGTATCAGAAGAAGATGGGGAGGAATACAACCCAGAGCATGATGAATCATCTTCAGAAGAAAACCCTGAAGCTGAAAGAGACTTTCCTTTCAAAAAATGGCAAAATAACATGGTCCTCAGCAGCATATGACCAACACGGCAGGCATGCAGAACAAAACGTCATAAAGATGACCCCAGGACCCACAAGGTATGCCGTTTCTCATGCCCATGACATTGTCTCTACATTCTACCTGTTTATCACACCAGCAATAGAAAAAATAATCCTGGAGATGACAAATCTGGAGGGTTTTTGCAAATATGGAGACAGCTGGAAAAAGATGGATGAGACTGACCTGCAGGCCTACTTAGGGCTGCTAATCTTAGCCGGTGTATACAGATCCCGAGGTGAGGCTGCAGCTAGTCTATGGGATGCAGAGAGTGGAAGGCCAATTTTCCGAGCCACAATGCCACTCACACTCTTTCACACCTACTCAAGACTGCTACGATTTGATGACCGTGAGTCAAGACCAGCAAGACGTGTGACAGACAAACTTGCAGCCATAAGAGAGGTCTGGGACAAGTGGGTGGAGCGGCTGCCCTACCTCTACAATCCAGGGCCTGACGTAACAGTGGATGAGCAACTGGTTCCATTTAGAGGTAATCTATTTTCATATTTGTAATAAAAGTGATTTTCACTATTGATTTGTTTGACTGTTTTCTGTGACACTGATACTAATCACTGATGCTAATGTCTTCTGTCCAAAGGTCGTTGTCCTTTCCGGCAGTATATGCCCAGCAAGCCAGCAAAATATGGGATCAAGTCATGGGTGGCTTGCGATGCCAAATCAAGCTATGCTTGGAAAATGCAAGTCTATACCGGGAAGCCGACCAGTGGATGCCCAGAGAAGAACCAGGGGATGCGAGTTGTGCTTGATGTGACAGAGGGACTGAGGGGTCACAATGTGACATGTGACAATTTCTTCACCTCTTATGAACTCGGACAGCAGCTCCTGAAGAGGAAGATCACCATGGTCGGTACAGTTCGAAAGAACAAGCCTGAGCTCCCACCTGCACTGCTTGCGTCAAAGGAGAGAGAGGTCTTCTCATCAAAGTTTGCCTTCACGCCCACCACCACTCTAGTTTCATACCTCCCAAAGAAAAACAAGAATGTAGTTCTTCTGAGCACACTGCACACAGACGGTGACATTAGCGATCGTGAGGACAGGAAGCCAGTCATCATCCTAGACTACAACCACAACAAAGGAGGCGTGGACAACCTAGATAAGGTGATTGGAACATACAGCTGCAGAAGGATGACTGCCCGCTGGCCCCTGGTCATCTTCCACAACATCATTGATGTTTCCTCCTACAATGCCTTTGTGATTTGGAGAGAGATCAACCCGACCTGGATGTCTCGTAAGCAGAACAAGAGGAGGGTGTTCCTGGAGCAGCTAGGAAAGGCACTTGTAATTCCACTCATTGAAAGAAGGAAGCATGTCCCCCGCACAGAAGCCTCAGCAGCAGTTGTGAAAGATATTCAGAGTGCAGGAGCTCCTGATCAACCTGAGGATCCAGCTACCACAGCCACTTCCCCAGCTAGGGCAAGTAAGAGGAAGAGATGTCAGTTCTGCCCTCAAAAGAAGGACTGTAAAACACATACTGTGTGCTGCAGGTGTAAGAAATATATCTGCAAAGGCTGTGCACTTGCATACTGCCCTACATGTGCTAATTAGTTGAATGGGTTGTTATTTTTCATATTTTTGTATTGTACATTGTCTTAAATTGTTCACTGGAAAAAAAGAGAAACTGTCATTGGGATGAATAAAAATGCATTCAAAACTCCTTTTTTGCACATTTTTTTCTTTTCTTAAGCTATAGAAATACAAGTGAAGAGGGAAAACTCAGGTATTCACACATTTTGTGGTGAATGACAAATTGTTTCTTCAAGCAAGATGAAATTTGTTGTTCAATTTTTGCAATTCAATTAAGCTGCTTATATTGGGGGTTTAGTGAAGACGGGTCATTTTGACCCGGAGGACACAGGGTGTATACAGAAAATGAGGACAACAGGAGGGTTAACTGATTGCTTTGTTTTTGTTTTGTTAGTTTGATGCAGCAATGAACACATTGTATGATCTATCACGCTTAAGAAAACAAAAGACGAGTCATTAATTGTCTAAAAAGCTCTACTTCAAAGTAAGAGTACTTCATAAAGCTGTAGTAGAGTCAAAGGTACACTGTTTTTTCGTAAATGTCAGAAGTTTCTGAAACAAGGTAAAGATACTGGAAAATATACTCAAGTACAGTACTGAAATACATGTACTTTGTTACTGTCCACCACTATGTGGGACCATGACTCTGAGTAGGGGAGCTTAGGACATCAGATTTGTAAGTTGTAGTTCCAATTAGCTTACAAGGTAGAAGTTGGGTTTCTACTGGTTCAGGTCTGAAGGAAATATAAGTAACAGGTTTGTAAAATGAGTTGGTTGTATCAATGGGTGTGAACATAGTATGTCAATTTCCATGAAAGATTGGTTATAGTCAGGATTGGGGTGAGTGCACGTTGAGGGTTTTCACACAACTGTTACAGGTGAATTCCATTAACCATTTCCTAAGAATTTATAATCCCTGAAAAGTTTATCTGTGACCTATCACTGTGCCTGTGTCACAGAGTCAGAGGGAGAGGCTAAATATAAGTTATCATAGGTGAATGTAACAGATATACAGCTAAACTGAAAATATGCTCTGTAGAGGTTAATTACAGGGCAAATTGAATCTTCTCCCTTCTTGAAAGGGATACTGTGTAGTCTTTGGAAATGAGGCATTACTTTGGTAATATCTGTGTTGGCTCATAAGTCCTAAACAAATTGGTGTCATTAGTGAAAGAGGTTAATTTTCAGCAAATCAAACGCTAACCATCACCGATATTGAGTATTAGCAAATCACACAGATAATCTAGTAAAGAAGTTTAACCAGAATTTTTAGTAATTGTATATCATGGTAAAATCAAACGGTTCTACCCATACTGTAAAAACATAACTACATGCAATTATTCTTAATCTAACCATTAAAAATTTAATTTAACACTTGTTGCTCTTTTTCAAGTAGCAACATGCAGGAATGCATCAGTCAATTTCACTTGCACTGGGTATAGTACTAATCTATTAAACAAGATCCAATATCACATTAGAGAAACAAGCTCTATTGCAAATCTCAGACAGATATACAAACTCCAATCCTGCGCGTATGCCTGGAGAGCATTGGTTATCTCTGACACGGTGTAGCCACTTTTTTTTTTTTTTTTAAATATAAACTCTTATGGATTCCCTCCAGACTTTGATCATTATCCCTTTAGCATCTTAGTTTTTGGAAAACCATTCTAAAAGGATCCACAACCCCCTGTCTACCGTCAGCAGATTATCTTTTTGAACGAATATTCTCTGTATCATGACGATGCGATTTGTTTTTTATTTTTTTCATTTAAAAAAATAAATAAATAAATAAATAAATAAATAAAACAAGGTCTCCTATGTGAATAAATATCAACATTGTATCAGAAATCATATCTCAGAATCTTTTAACCACACTACTTGCTCCTTTCCAAATGTTAAAAGATTGCTACAACTTGTGACACACAGGTTTTATTTCACTCCTGCTCGTGTTATTATTCCTACGATATATTGCTGTATTTTGTTGTTTTTTTTCCCTTTCCTACTCGCTCAAATTCTAATAATCGAATGGCAGTAAAGATGTCTTTTGTCATACATCACTCTAAACTTTTTCAGAAATGCTGAATCCTTCAATTTTTTTTTTTCTCATCTGTTGTGCTGAAGGGTCTCGATCATGTCCTCGTCTTTCAGATAACCCTCCACCAGCTCCCTGATACAATCAAACTTGACCTGGCCACGGCTTTCCCAGGTCTGCGTGATACCCTTGAAATGCAACACTACTTTTCTTGCTGTTTCTGGTTTGGTTCCTGTAACTCTTGGGGCTGGTAGCCGCAAATTCTTGAATGCTGTTACCCCCCAGCTCGTCCGTTAGATCCCCCAGATAATTATCCAATTCCAAGGGGGACTCCATCTTTCACCATTTAGATTAAGCTGCCGGTATCGGTACAGAGAATTTGCAACCGTTCCAGATAACCGTAAAACTTCAGACGGGTGTAGGTGGTGGTGAACATGGTGATGAATACGTTATTGGCTCTGCCAGCGGGGTGCAACGCATCGCTTGTTGTAGTTTAATTGAATCATAGCAGTTTTGTCGTTGAATAAAAGTAGTTGACTTTATATTGTCCCAAAAGCAGAAAAAACTGTTCAGAATCACTCACGAGTCTGGTTTGCGCCAAATTGGCTCTCTTCGCAAACTTGCCCCAGAAGCTGTTGAAGCACAGTTTAGACACCTGTCTCTTGGCGTGGTTCACGACAATATTGATATACTTATCCCTGCTCTCCCAATCGGTCGCCTCAGGAGGGTAGGCCGAAGCTTCTTGCTTACCTTTTCAAAAAGGTGTGTATGTACTTTATGAAAATGGATTTGCTACATCTGTCAAACTGCCGGTGATCTTGGCAACTCTATAACCCAGCTCGAGAGCCTTGTTAAATTCAGCGGTCACCCAAACCCCCGTCAACGCTCTGGCCTCCTCGTCATCTGCAAGGAGCCTTCTGATTGTTGATTTCAGTGCAGGTACGGCAGAGGGTGAATACCAATTTACCTCCGTTTTGTAAGGTAAAACGGGATAAAGAGCCCAACGACGGCCCTGATGAACCTGTAGTAGTTTTGAGGTTCGTGTTGAAGAAAATTCACTCAAGTCCTTAGATTGAAGTTTAACAAAATGCCACCATACAAGAAATCACTAACCACAATCCGCACTATCACCAAAACATATTACACGAGCCAGTCACACCCTCAAAGCGGCCTGTGTGTTACTGGGCTCAACACCTAAAACTCGGATCAGACATTAGCGTTAATGCGAGTTCGTTGATATTTTTTAGAAGGTGTCCTTATTCTTAGTTTTTGAATCTTGTTTTTTCATCAGTCTGCCTCATCACATGCTTCGTCTTGTCTTTAAAATCACTCCTATCAAAACCCCCACTCCTAAAATCATCATCTAGCCCGACTCCAGCCCACAAATCATCCTGCCTCCCCCAAAAGAGGACGCCGTTCTGATTCTTTTTATCTCTCTAAAAAATTGAAATTGGACTATTGACTTTACATCCTACGCTTTCTTTTCTTTCTCATCACTTATTGATTTGCTTTGTTGACAATTGATTTTGTTTTATTTTCAACTGACTTTGTTACTTGATCATTTTCATTTTGTTTTTATGTTTTCAATTGACTTTTGCCTTATTGATCAGTTTCATTGCCTTATTTCGACTTATTGATTTGCTTTGTTTGACAATTGATTATTGTTCTATTTTCAACTGACTTTGTTTTACTTGATCATTTCCATTTTTTTTTTTTTAATTGACTTTGCCTTACTTGATCATTTCTTTGTTAATTGTGGATTGACTTTTGTTTTTGCTTGAATCATTTCATGTTGCTTTGTTGACAATTGATGTTTGATTTATTTTTCGGACATATGATGGTTTCATCTTGATCTATCAATTGATTTATGTTTTTCCATTCAATTGTTTTGTTTCACATTTATTTGCTTTTTGCTTGTCAATTGACTTTAATTTGTCTACTTTAATTTCTTTACTACATTTCTCAACTTAATCGTTTTTTTACATCACTAGATCGAATTTTGTTCTTATTACATTCTATGTAATATGTTACTTTTTTATTTTGTTTTGGTTTATTTTGTTCGTTTTATTATTGTTTTGTTTTACTTTATTTTTTCATGATCTCATATTTTGCTATTTAATTGAATCTCCGTTACATGACATGGTCTAGATAATGACAATGATCCTGATCTTCACCCACCTTTGGGTTGCTTAAAAAAAAAAAAAAGAAAAAAAAAGAGATTGAGGAAGAAAAATACACATCTTTAGTATAGACCTGGCTAGCACTAGAAACAACCCTACAAACCCCACTGAGTTTGACTCCTTGATCCTTGATCAAGGAGATACCACCTTCCCTGTTTATTCTCCACCACCGTCTGTCTTCCCCTTACATCACAAACACTTCATTGTCTTAAAACATCTTACTTAAGCAACATCTTACCTGCTAATGTTAATTCAGTCTAGGGCGGCCCTGCCTGCCCTATCCATAGAATGCTGATCCAACCCCTACGCCCCTACCCCCGATAATGTGAACCAAGGTGCTACACTACTCTTGATAAACATTACCTTTTGTTATAACTTCCTTTCCTGTCTGACCAAATGTCTGTAACCCAGTATATGCAAATACAGTGCCCATTCCTTTGTCTCTCTGTATAACTGGGCCCCTGCCCTACACTGGGTCAGTCTACTGCCTCAGACCCGCTCTGTGTCAGTTGGCTCGACCGTATCTGGGATACATTAAACTTACTTCCGTACAGC